CGGCGGCGGCGGTGGCGGCGGCCGCGGAAACTTCGGCGGCGGAGGTGGCGGAGGCCGCGGAAACTTCGGCGGCGGCCGTGGCGGCTTTAGAGGAGGTGGTGGGGGGGGTCGTGGGAGCTTTGGCGGGGGTCGAGGGTTTAATAATGGGCCTCGTCGAGGTAATTAATCAAAACTTATGGCGGAAGAAGGTAGACTAATAATAATGCTGCAAGTTATTAGAGTAAATAATGAAATAGCCTTGCTACGCTACGAGCTAAGCTGTAATGAGAGAATCAATTGACAACAATAATATATTAAATCGTATACCAAGCGATAATGCTTCTGGACATAAATTAACGCGAAAATATGGATAATTGGCTGTTTAAGGGAACTGATTCGATTCTAATACACGAATTTTCCCCTTGTTTTTTCCATGTCGCTTTAATTGGTTTTTATACACAAGACCACGAATTTTCATGTGGTTGTTTATGCTGGTCGCGGTAATTCATTCAAGTGTGCCTTCTAGTGTCGCCTTTAATGGTACGAGTCTAATCATCAGTATTTTTCTATTATTGGTGCCTAGAAAACGCTAAAGGTGTTTTTGCTATAAAAATGAAGCACTGGTTATTGTTCCCCTGTGGTTTCTAGCCTTTCCATTGGTGTTTTTCTCTTCTTTTAAGGGGATTGTTGTTGCTTTTTTTTTTGGAAAAAATATAAAGCATAGCCCAGAATAAATGATTTTTTAAGAAATCAAGGATGCCCTGTATGCAATACACTTGTTGATTATCTCAGAAACTGCACTAAAAGCTCAGGACTTTGGATTTAAGGAGATGATACAGCCCTTCCTTCTACAAAATCTTTGAACATTCAGTTTGGGTCTTCATCATCTTTCAAAAAGGTGCAGCATCCTCCATCGATTTGCTCGTCAAATCTATTTAGAATCATAAATGCTGAACAATTGAATGACAAGATTTCATCCTTTTTGAACAAATTACACTTTTGGCTTCTATTTCTTCAAGATTGTTCGACGTTCTCCTTACAGCTCCACCTACTGATCGCTCTTGGCTAAAGCTTTTGTGTTTTTTTTACATACAGTTGTAGAAAAACGCTGAACACGCAGGAAAGGAAACGAAGATCCTGAAAAATGGTATTGAATTATTTTTTCATAAACTTTGTTTTACTCAAAATGTAGGTCAACCCCCAAAAAAGAGTATACAGCTTCAGAAAGAACAAATTAAAGCGCTAATCTTAAAAAAAAAAGGTTACTTCGCAACATCTAATTGAGGAAGGTTTGAGATAACATGTGACTATTTTGATTTTTCTAATTTGTACTCTGCTTTTTCTCCATTTATTTTGCATATTTTATTTGGGTATCTAATTCCTTTTTCTTAGGCTAGAGTTGTTGTTGTTTTTATTTTATTTTTCTTATTATCGTACGTTATCTAGACATTTGTTTAGCACTTTCGTTGGTATTGCAAATTAAAGAAAGGCGGTATAAGTTTAGCAAAATCACACTTGGAAAGCATAAGACGATCGGAATGTTCACCAAGTTCGATGTTCGCTCATCAAGGGTGAAAGGGATCAGCTTTCACAAACAGCGGTCCTGGATCCTATGTGGGCTCCACAATGGGATGGTCCAAATATGGGATTACCGCATGAATATGTCTATAGAAGTCTTCAACGATCACAGCGGCTCCGTCCGCGGCGTTGACTTTCATGCCACGCAGCCGATCTTCGTCTCGGGGGCCGACGACGGGACCGTGAAGGTGTGGAATTATAAGCTGCGGCGCTGCCTTTACACCCTCACGGGCCACCTGGATTACGTCCGCACGACCTTCTTCCACCACGAGCAGCCCTGGATTCTCTCCAGCTCCGACGACTACACCATTCGGATTTGGAATTGGCAAAACCGGAAGAGTGTGGCGTGTCTTCCGGGCCACAGCCATTTTGTGATGTGCGCGCAGTTCCACCCCCAGGACGACCTCATCATCTCCGCGAGCCTGGACAAGACGATCCGGGTTTGGGATATCTCCCTCCTTCGCAGCCAACGCCAGGAGAGCAGCCTCACGCATGACCTGCTGAAGACGAACGACGTGGTGGTGAAGTCTGTCCTCGAGGAGCACGAGCGGGGGGTGAATTGGGTCGCTTTTCATCCCACCAAATCCTACTTCGTCTCGGGGTCGGACGACCGGACGGTAGGGATTTGGCGGCTCACCCGGACGGCCTGCTACCTCGAGGCCTCGCTCCACGGCCACACCAACAACGTATGTTGTGTGACCTTTCTGAAGGATCTTATCATCTCCAACAGCGAAGATCGCACGATTCGCGTCTGGGATTCGCAGCAGCACCAACAATTGATGGTGTTCCGCCGTGATAGCGATCGCTATTGGATCCTCGCCACCGACCTGGAGAGCAACCTCATCGCGGCCGGGCACGACTCCGGCTTGCAGGTCTTCAAGATCCTAAACGAGCGCATCCCGTTTGCCATCGACAACGGCGCCATCCCCTCTATTTTGTACGTCTACGAGAACGCGCTGTATCGGTATGAGTTAGAAAACGGCAGCTCCACCTCGGTGTATCTGCCCTCTCGGCTTCAGCTGCCGCGGACGATCTCGATCAACCCGGCGGACAAGCAAGTGGCGCTGTGGTACAAGAACCGAAACGACGCCTACGGCTTCACCGAGACCTTTTTCATCTCCAACTCGAGTGTCGTCGGCGAAGGGAATATCCACCGCCATCAGGACGTGATGGGTTCCGTCTTTTTCGCACCCAATAAGCTTGCCTACGCCGACAAGCGAAGCAAGCTGTGCATTTTCAACGTCCAGACCAAGCAGGAGAAGGTCCTGGAGACGGAGTTTCCCGTCCAGCGGGTCTTCCAGGGCCCGATGGGGTCAGTTCTCCTGCAGAGCGTGAATCGGGTCTTTTTATACCACATGGCCCAGCACACCCACGTCGCCGAGGCCGCCGTGGCGGAGGTGCGGCAAGTCGTGTGGAACCGCCCCTTCCGGACCGTGGCGCTGCTGACGCGGAACTCCATCGTCCTGCTGACCCACCACCTGGCGCACGTCGCGACGATTGTGGAGTCCTCCGCGAGCGTGAAGTCCGCCGTCTTCGACGAGGCCCGCGAGGTGCTTTTCTTCACGACCTCGCACCACCTAAAGTACCACGCCCTGGGCACCGGCGAGACCGGGACGATCCGGACCCTGCGCCAGGTGAACTACCTGGCGCGGGCGGTGGGGGACCGGATGTGGCACCTGACCCGGGCCGGCCAGGTCGTCCGCGCCGACGCCGCGCTGGCGGAGCTGGACTTTAAACTGCAGCTCGCGCGGCGGGCCTACGCCGGGGTGGGGCGGCTGATGGCGGCGGGCGGGCTGACAGGGCAGGCGCTCGTCGGCTACCTGCAGCGGCACGACCACGGGGAGCTTGCCCTGCACTTCGTCGCGGACCCCCTGACCCGCTTC